GCGTGCGCGTGCGGGCGGGGATGATGTGCCTGCGAACCCAATTGAGCCTTGAATACGCCCGTGAGAGAAAGGGAGTAGCAGCGTCACGTGACGCGCAACAAGCAGGCCAGGCTCACTCAAAAGGCGAGGTTTGTGTATGTGTGCATACTGTTTGCTATTCGAGAGCGTTCTGCCATGAGAGCAGTGGAGGGACTGGCTAGCTGCGTTGGATCGAGTGCAGGCCGTCACCTCCCGCTTCGGAAGGGGGGGGTGTATGCGTGTGCGTGTGTGTGTGCGTGTGCGTGTGTGCGTGTGCGTGTGCGTGCGCGTGCGCGTGCGCGGTTGCTCCCTCGTACGCTATTCGTCATGCATTCATTCAAGTGATGGCGCATCCAAAGTCGATCGAGGTGGGCGTGCGTGGTGCGCACGCACGCGCAATGGACGTGATGATGGTGGTGGTGGCGTGCAAAGAGGAGGAACGACGTCGGTCGCGCGTACGTGGTGTAGTTGAGTGATGCGCGGCGATGTTTTTTTTTCTCTTTCGCGTTCGCGCGCGCGCGCTTGCTGCATTTCAGTCACGTGACTAAAAGGGGCGCGCGGACGCGTTCCCGTTTGGCGCGCATCAACACGCAACGCGCATGCAGCAGCATCGCTTGGATTGCCTCGATCGTGACTCGAGCGAGCCAGCGCGCAACGCACACCTCCTTCACCACCACCACCCCCACACACCCACACACACACACACGCATCACCATGGCGCCCACAAAGACGCGCAGATCAATCTCGAGACCTTCGAGTGTGGCGTCGTCGCCGCGCAAGTCCCGAGCGGCGCTGCTTGGAGAGAAGCAGATCATCGCAAAGCAAAAAGTGGATGTCGACATCAGGCATGGCCTTGCTGCTGCAACCGATGACCACGATGCGCACAAAGACGACGACGACGACGACGACGACGATGAAGCGGCGTTCGAGAGTGTGCTCGAGCATGCCCACACGTGAGTCTTGCTCCCGCCGCGCGCACACCAAGCATACACGCATGCACGCATGCACGCATACACGCACCACTCGGCTCACCATCCCCCTCCCCCTCCTCGACAGCGTTGCGCAAATGCTTGACGCTGCTCGAACAGCTCCGAGCCGTACTCCACCGCTCACCCTCACGCTGCTCTCGAATGCTCTGCGCAGACGATTGGCGCAGGGTGCAGAGGCAGAGGCTGGGGCTGAGGCTTCGAGGGGTGATGAGGCGGTACAGATCGACTGGACGAGGTACGCGTACTGGCCAGAAGGCTTGATTCAGGAGGAGCTCGCTCTCAATGTGAGTTGGGGCGGGGCGGGGGCGGGGACTGCGGCGTGCGCGTGCGCGTGCGCGTGTTCGCTCACTCACCCGCACACACACACACACACACACACGCGCGCGCGCGCAGGACTACTTTAAGCGCCTCAAATTCATCCACTTGGAAGTCGAGACCAAACGTTTGTTCCTTGCTCAGACCATGCCTGGTTTCGCTGCCAACGAAGAGGAGGAGGAGGAGGTGATCTACTCTGCTGCAGATGTGGCAGCGTTGGGTGAGTGGGGCAGAGGAAGGAGCGTTGCGGGGAGAGGTAGCGTTGCGGGGAGAGGTAGCGTTGCGGGGAGAAGAAGGAGCGTTGCGGGGAGAAGAAGGAGCATCGCCTCGACGCCCCGCCCCGCGCTCACATCCTCTCGCTCTCTGGCCGTCCACGCAGAGCAAACGGCGAGCGAGCTCAAGTTGCAGATGCGCAGCGCAAAGGCGCAGATCAAATCTCTCCGCAGCGCCATCGATGCGTGCGCAGGCGCCCTGCTGCCACCGAACACGGCACGCTCGACGCCGACGCCGTTGCCGACACCGACGCCTTCCAAGCGTCGAAAAGCATCCGAATCGTCGTCGTCGTCGTCGTCGCGCGGTGCAGTGGGCGAGTTGTTGGAGCAGTCCATGGAAGCATCGCATCTGATCGAGGATATTGCGGATTTGGAGCTGCGCATCGCTAGGACCAAAGCGGCTGGAGGTGGTAGCAGGCCAAACTTTGAGAATCGCAAAGAGCTGGAGAGCATACCGAAAATGGCTACGCTCACGCCAGACGAAGCTGCAGAGTGGTGCGATAGGCAGGTGAGTCGCGTGTGCGTGTGCGTGTGCGTGTGCGTGTGCGTGTGCGTGTGCGCCTGCGAGCAGTGCGGATCGCGAGGGGGAGCGCATTCATTCAGCGCGCATCCATCCAGCGCGCATTGATCCATGCTCACGCATTCATTCACGCTCACACGCACGCGTCCTCGAACACAGATCGACGAGATGCAATACCTCGCCAGCGCATCCACAACTCTGCAAAAGACCATTGATGCGCGCAAATCCGAGCTGATAGCCGCTCACAGATCTCTGGACAGGTTGAATGTGGAGCGAGGAGTGGCGGAGCAGTACGCCGAAGAAGCGGATAGGGCGGGTGTGGTTCAAGAAGCGCTTGCTGAGAGGGGCAACGGTAACGGTAACGGTAACGCCGGCGCCGGCGCCGGCGCCGCGAGCGCAGGCAAGGGAAGAGATTTGGAAATCGAGAGGATATGTCTCGAGTGAGTTTGCCCCCCGCGCCCCGGCCCCGCGCGCGCGCGCGCCTTATTTCCCCGCTCAAGCCACGCAACCAACACCCAACAGGCACGCAGATACGCTCGAAATTCTTCGCACCATCCTTGGCGTGCAAGCCATCTCTGCTCCAGACTCCAAGACGCTGCGCGTCGTGTACAGCGTGGCGGCGCGAGACAATAAGCATAGCGCGAGCGGGAGCGGGAGCGCGACGGCGGTGTTCAGATTCGACAGGCCAGCTGGCAAGCTGCTGAAATTCAGCGTGAGTGTCGGGGAGCGCGCGCGCGCGCAGCACCACACATGCTCACTCGCCGCGCACCATCACCACCACATCCTCACTCGCCCTCAACGCGCAGGTGACGGACGAGGATGACAAGGACTTGCTGCAAAACATTGCACCGCCACATTCCTACGCAAGAGCAGCGTTGGACGCTGCGCACGCATCCAACGACCTGCCAGGTCTGGTTCGAGAGCTCATCATGGCCCTCGACGCCTAGGCGCGCGCGCGGTCCAAAATCTTGCACACATGTCATTACGCTACGCTACGCACCGCCCCCCCC